AAGGATTGGATATATTTGTTGTTGCAGAGACCTGGCATGGATCTTCTGACAGCCTATCAGTGGGATTATCGTTGCCTCCGGGTTATCGTTTTATAGATGCGGTTAGGGCTGGTGATCCTTTCCATGGAGGTTTGATAATATTTCTTGGACCGTCTTGCAAGTATAGACGGATTGTTGTGCCTACAGTCACTACGTTTGAGGTTTTAGCAGTTAAACTTATTATTGATCGACAGGATTTTATATTATTGGCTGTGTATCGACCGGGTTCGGTTCAACCTTCGGTGCTGTTTTTTAAAGAGTTAACGGTTGTTCTTGATAGTATAACGGTTTTGAATTCTAGGATAGTACTGGCAGGAGATTTCAACATTCATGTTGAAAGAGGTAGTGACACTCACGCGGCGACTCTGGGGGATATATTTGAAAATTATTGTTTAGTCAATCACACAAAGGAACCAACTCATATTCTTGGTGGCACACTTGATCTAGTGGTCACTTCAGTAGATTTTCCAGTTATAGACTGTTCGGTCCATCCTAGTGGTGTTTATTCTGACCATGGCTTTATTCGAGTAGCTTTGTCAATTACTCGTAACCACTCTTTTAATATTTGCAAAAAAATCAGATCCTGGAATCGAATGGACAATGACGGCTTTACTAGAGTTTTCTTGGAATCCGCGATATCGAGACCTTGCATAAGTGATAACCTTGACGCTGAATTTCAATTGTTTCTCAATGAATCTCTACGAATTGCTGGTGTAATTGCACCTGTTCGAACTGTCTTGACTAAACGGGATCGTGTTGCCCCATGGTTTGATGATGAGTGTTATCGTTTGAAGCGATTATGCAGGAAAAAAGAACGAATTTTTAGAAGGAGTCATCAATCTATTCATCGAGAAGAATGGAAAAGAGCTTTAGATGAAAAATCCAGGATATTTGGTGATAAACGCAGTCGGTCTGGACCGTCATTGTCAATGATAACAAATGTAATCCTAAGAATCTATGGAGGGTAATAGATAAGATCCTTTGTAGAGGTAATAAGGATAGCATATGCTATGATGCTGAGCGGTTAACTGCAGATCAGTTCATGAATTTTTTTGTGGAAAAATTATCTAAAGTCAAGGACGGATTGGCGCCCTCAGAAAGGCTGGATGTCATCGCAACTGGGGTTCAGTTTAAAGAACTATCAACATTTACTGCTGTGACTGAGGATGATGTTATAAGCATGATACAAAGTGCACCAGCTAAGTCATGTCAACAGGACATTTTTCCGACTGATGTTGTAAAGAGATACGTTAACCTGTTCACTCCGTTTTTAACATCTTTGATCAACTTATGCTTAAAATCTGGTCGTTTTCCTCAGGCGTGTAAACACGCAATTGTGCTTCCTATTCTGAAGAGGAGTGGTATGGATGCTAGTGATATCAATAACTATAGACCGATTTCTAACCTCAATTTTATTTCGAAGATTATTGAACGTATGGTTGCTAGACAAATACTTGATCATCTAAGGTGTAACAATCTGCTACCCTACAATCAGTCGGGATTTAGACAGTACCATTCGACTGAAACAGCATTATTGCAGGTCCATTCTGAACTTTGTATGGCAATGGATCAACAAAAGATATCACTCCTTACGTTTTTGGATATGAGTTCCGCTTTTGACTGCGTTGATCACAGAATTCTTCTTGATAGGTTGCATTGTAACTTTGGTATTTCTGGTGTGGTTTTGGAGTGGATGGAGTCATATCTAGTTGGTAGAACTCAGCAGATTTCGTTTGGTGGAAAATTATCTGATATTACCACAGTTATTTTTGGTGTTCCTCAGGGGTCAGTTCTTGGACCATTGCTATTTCTCTTATATACGTCTGAGGTCTTTAAGGTTATTGAATCATTTGGCTTCTCGAGTCATGCCTTTGCAGATGATATTCAGATAATAGTCAGTGGTTCACCTAGCTCATTTCAGGCTGAGCTGGATGGCCTGGTGGACTGTCTGTTGGCGGTTAATTTATGGATGTCGAAAAATGGCTTAAGGTTGAATCAAAATAAAACTAAATTGTTGCCTGTTGGAACATGGCAACAGCTGTCCAGATTAGATGCTGATTCAATTTTTGTTAATGACGTGGTAATTCCATTCTGTGATAAGGCAAAGAATTTGGGTGTCATATTTGATCCAAACTTGTCGATGAAACAGCACTTCAAAATGCTCTCTAGAGATTGTATGCTACAGATTAGAAGGATTAACCAAATTCGCAATTCATTGGACGTTTCCACACTGCAGACTTTGGCTCATGCATTTGTCCATTCGCGAATTGATTATTGTAATAGTTTGTTTTATGGATTACCCCTGAGGTCTACTGCAATATTGCAGTCTCTACAGAATCGTATGGCAAAAGTAGTGGTTGGTGGTTTACGGTATGATCACGTGACGCCCATAATCAAAAGTTTGCATTGGTTGACAGTCGATAAAAGAATAATCTACAAGATATCAGTCTTGTTGCATAAATCAATGAATGGCCTGGCACCAGCATACTTACAGGATAAATTTAAAAGGTACTCAGTAGATTCTTATGGGTCTGGTCTAAGATCGTTTTCTGCGAATCTGTTAAAAGTTCCGACTGCCAATCTATGTATTGGTTCACGTAGTATTGCGGTTTCTGGACCAACTGTCTGGAACAGCCTTCCCGTCCATCTCAGAGATCCAGGATTGTCCATTACTCGCTTTAAAAAAGAACTTAAAACATTTTTGTTTTCTTATGAGAGATGATGTGTGTGTGTGTGTGTGTGTGTGTGTGCGTGGGTGGGTTTGTGTGTGTGTGTGTGTGTATATTTAATTTCTTTTGATTTAAAAACGGTTTTATTGTCTTGCCAATTGATGCTTGTTTTTTTTATTAGATAGTCATCTTATATATCGGTTGTTTCTATTAATTGTTTTCATTTCTGACTTTACGTATTATTATGTATTATCATCTACCGTCGGATTATTGATTTATCCATATTTCATGTTGTGTCTAACGTTGAGTTCGCTTTGAAGTTTATTTAATTGGCGTTACATAAACTCTTGTTATGATATATATATATATATATATATATATATATATATATATGTGTGTGTGTGTGTGTGTGTGTGTGTGTGTGTGTGTGTGTGTGTGTGTGTGTGTTAAGAGTCTTTTCCATAATAGCTGATTTATATATGTGTCTTTTTTCTTCACTGGATTTCAAAATGGTTTGATTGTCATGACAGTCGATTCTTTATTTTTGATATTTGTTTATCACCTTATATCAATTGTCTCTGTTTTTTGTGTTTCGTCTTGGGTATTTGATTTTGCTTATTATTATGTATTATCCTCTAACTATTGATTTTTGATATGTTTAATGTGCGAGAGCGCTTTTGAATTTTATCTAATTAGTGCTATATAAATTATTGATATTATTATATACATAGACATTTATCATCAACAATCTGTATTTTCATCCAACTGTATTTTATTTTACTTCATTTATTTATTTTATTATTTTTTAAATGCAATGGAAGCTTTTCATTTGCTGGAGGCATAGGAACGTCAGTTCGCGCCTTTCTATTTTCTGTTTATGTTATGTTATGTTATGCTATTCTTTTTTTTTTAATTTCCCCTAATTATATTCAATTGCCTATGAATAATCAAAGTGGAGAAAAAAAAAGCAAGCCAATATGAATTCATTTAAAACAACTCTCGACAATTTTTAACGCTTTTGTTGATTTATTCAAAATGTAACGTAGTATTTTAGACTTACGTACACATATAACACTTTAATTTTCGTTTAAAAATAGTCAAGTAGATACGGACGCGTTGTTTGAAGAGATTCATGCTGCAACTGTATTTTATTTTACTTCATTTATTTATTTTATTATTTTTTAAATGCAATGGAAGCTTTTCATTTGCTGGAGGCATAGGAACGTCAGTTCGCGCCTCTCTATTTTCTGTTTATGTTATGTTATGTTATGCTATTCTTTTTTTTTTAATTTCCCCTAATTATATTCAATTGCCTATGAATAATCAAAGTGGAGAAAAAAAAAGCAAGCCAATATGAATTCATTTAAAACAACTCTCGACAATTTTTAACGCTTTTGTTGATTTATTCAAAATGTAACGTAGTATTTTAGACTTACGTACACATATAACACTTTAATTTTCGTTTAAAAATAGTCAAGTAGATACGGACGCGTTGTTTGAAGAGATTCATGCTGCTACTACTACTAGTCGCAACTTCAAAATATTGATCATGTATTCTAGATAATATTAATAATATAATATAATAATTAATAACAACAATAATAATAATTTAGTCATTTATGTGGCGCCTTATGTGTAGCGTCTGGAGCAAGAGGAGGCCTATTTACCAATATACAACACTTTCTAATGGGTTGAAGCAGGGATATGCAGAGAACCTAGCGTAACTTTTCACTCGAACGATAAAAAAAAATCACCCTCCAAATCCCCTCCGGAAGTAAGCTCCTTGTTCGACCGTTAAATGTGAGCGAAGGCCGTTATATTTATTCTAGTTATGTGGTCTGCAGCGTTTTTAATTTATATAGCACCCTAATTTAGGAGCGCTCTGGGACCATGGATATGGTTATATATATATATATATATATACATGTTTGGGACCTCTGTTATCTTAACGAATGCCTCGGATGTTTCAGGTAATCAATTAATATTGATGTTTGTGTTATAAGAATAAACTGAAAGAAATTTAACAAAGCGAACAAGTGGACGTAATATTATGATAATGCCAGAGTGCATTTTACAAATTCAAGAGGTTTAAGTACTTGTACTACTGCGACTGTTTAGTTTGCATCGGAACTTGAGACATAGTTATTACAATTTTTAGAAAAACAAATTAAAAATCACAATTTTTTATTATAAATTAACTTAAATCATCACTTTTATCATTTCAGTATCGCCAGTTTCATTGTCCTAACCTTTGTATGAACCTTTTTGTTATACATATGTTTGCTTGAGTGAACCCCAAAATTAGCGAATATTTTACTTCTTCACGAATACAAAACCGCAACGTATAAACCATATCTGCTGTTGATCAACATCTAAGATATTTGTGAGATTGTGTCTTTTCATCACATCAAAATATTTTTTTTACGCTGCTTCTGTATTCAACGACAAGTGTTTTTATGTCAAACTTATTGAAGGGTATGGTTTTAAGTAGTGATACCTCGTCAACATCTCCATCCAGGCTGAACAAGTTTAAAATTGTTCTTTTCAAAGCAAGAAGCAGAGTTTCTAACGGACAGCAAGCAACTTCACCCTCCGGCTCAGTTGTTTTGCCTGATTTCAATCATCTGACTTGAGTGCTACATTCTTTTAAATGTAACTTTAAAGTATATAATATTATGATTTATTTTTTTAAATATCTGAATTTATATAGTTTACTGTCTTCCAAAAATTAAACATTTTGCCAAATATACAGTACTCATAGCCAAGTGCTGAAAAAGTGACCTTAGTTAGAATTGAAATATTCTTTTAAGAGCAATTTTCTGTGCATATTTCAATCGCTAGGTTATGTTCGTTTATGAGAATTTCAAAATTGAACATGTACAAAAGTTAAAAATTTCAACTTTCTAGATAAATAGATGAATCCAAGTCAAAGGAATCTCCATTCATTTTATGGAAGAACCGCGAATGTTGTAGGTCACGTTCAAGCCAACACATTTTCACAAAACAATAAAAAGTGATTGTTTATATTTTCCCAGCTAATCAGCTGAAGAAGTTTTGTCGGCTCCACAAATACAAAACAACACTGTCAGACTTTTTAAAGTTGTTCAAGTTAGTCGAAAATAAATATATGTATGGCCTATTTTAAAATTTATAACAGTTTTGAGAACAGAAACATAGAGATTTTGTATATTCAGATTTAAAGGAAAGATAGTGATAACGACTCAATTAAAATCCTTCTTTATTTTGATCCACTATTTTCAAACCATCATCTTTTTAAAGTTAAAAGTTTTATTTAAATCATTCGCTATTTTCATACAGAATCATTTTGTTTAAACATTTCACTATTTTTAAACAGAATCATTTTATTTAAATCATTCGCTATTTTTAAACAGAATCATTTTATTTAAATCATTCGCTATTTTTAAACAGAATCATTTTGTTTAAACATTTCGCTATTTTTATACAGAATCATTTTATTTAAATCATTCACTGTTTTTAAACAGAATCATTTTATTTAAATCATTCGCTATTTTTAAACAAAATCATTTTATTTAAATCATTCGCTATTTTTAAACAGAATCATTTTATTTAAATCATTCGCTATTTTTAAACAGAATCATTTTATTTAAATCATTCGCTATTTTTAAACAGAATCATTTTATTTAAATCATTCGCTATTTTTAAACAGAATCATTTTATTTAAATCATTCGCTATTTTTAAACAGAATCATTTTGTTTAAACATTTTGCTATTTTTAAACAGAATCATTTTATTTAAATCATTCACTATTTTTAAACAGAATCATTTTATTTAAATCATTCGCTATTTTTAAACAGAATCATTTTATTTAAATCATTCGCTATTTTTAAACAGAATACAGAATAGCTTGCCCTGTGAACTCGACCTACGTGGCATCGATTCGTTCCAGTTTGACGTTGGTGGACGTGAAGATAACCTGGCCTGAAGCCACAATGGCATGCAACAACTTGACCTTGAACTTTCACCCGCTGATAATTATTTGACGGCTTTCTACGGTCAAGTTTGTTACTTAAAAAATTTTGCGTGGAATCAGATTTAGCGATGAAATTTCAATTATTTTCAATTTATTCTCAAGTTACAATACATCACTGTTTAATAATAAAAATAAAACCCTTTTAACACATTTATTTTATATTTCAAATGGGGTTCATATAATTACACTATTCTCTCTTGAGCGAATCGCCATTAAGCACTTTCATTTGAGTAGCAAGAACAGTTTTCATGGGATTCTAAATTCTCCAAAAAAGACACGCTCAGTCACTGTTACGTCAGCGGTTATTGGCAAGTATGGACATCCGGGAGAGTAAAAGAAAATGCATTTCCTTTGTTTTCATGGCAGCCCTACCCCTTGCAAGTTGAGTTTTCGTTACGTTTCCACGAATGGAGTACGGGCAGCCAGATCGTAGCTATGCAGGAACTGGTCAGTGAAACAAGATGGATGAATTTGGACTATTTTGGACTGATTTATCGACCGTGCGAGAAAAAACTTTGAAAATAATTGTTGATAAATTAAACATTGATATATTTTTGTTAGGCAGTCTTACAAAGTTTTTAATTATTGAAAATATTCAACATTTATTAGACTGTTTTAAACATCTTTAGATGAAAAATAAAAAAACACTCAATATAAAAATTCAAAATTTATGTTGTTTTTATTTCATAATATTTTTTTACAAACAGTAACGTAAAAAAATTTTTAAATTCACATTCCGAAAATTAGCGAGTGAAATACAATCCAGTATAACTCTGCGTATATCAGTTAAAGTTCTTTGGTCATATCATGCGGAAGGAAAGAATGGAAAATCCAACAACTACTGAAAAGATTGCAGGGAGAAAAGATCGCGGTCAGCAACGAACAACATTCGTGAAGTCCTTTTGCCACTTGTTGAATATCACCACATATCAACTACTACAAAGTCTTAAAGATCGGGTTTTGGGGAGGTCGGTGGTCGCCAATGTCCTGAAAGGATAAGGCACGAAAAAGAAGAAGAAGAAGAAGAAAAAAAAGAAGAAGAAGAAGAGGAGGAGGAGGAAGAAGAAGAAGAAAAAGAAGAAGAACAAGAAGAACAAGAAGAAGAAGAAGAAAAAGAAGAGGATAATATATAATCATAAAATTAATTAACCAATTTTAATTATCGAATATGGTGCGAGTGTTAGTGATCGTGGTATTCTGTTCTGATGAATACAATTAATAAACGAAGAAATAGAAAAAAATATATGTAATTATTTGAGTAGTACACACACACACGCACACATACACACACACACACACACATGTATATATATATAATAAATATGCTAACGATATTATGGGTGTGTTAGTCTACGTGAACTTATGTATGTCTGTATGTTTTAATTACGTATGTTTGTATGTTTTTGAAAAAAAATCAGTTTCCCCATTCGCTAAAGTGACGACATGACCAATAAAAACCTCTCATTCAAGGAATGTAATATCAATAATTTGCATGGCACACGCACACATACACACACGCACACACACATACACGAACGCACACATACACACGCACCCGAAGAATGGTGACAAAAATGGAAAGTAATATTAAGCGATTTGAAAAAATATAATGAAATTAACGAACTGGGGTCAGAGATAAATCTTAAGTACAATAATAATATAATAATATATAATTATAAATAATAACAATAATAATAAAAATAATAATAATAATAATGATGATGATAATGAATGTATGAACGAACAAACAACGAACGAACGAACGAACGGCAAAACGAACAAAAGAAAAAACGAACGAACAAATTAATGTGAATGAAGAAATTTTTTATGTATGTTCAATTGTGCGTGTGTGCATCCATATATTCATTTTAATTATGCATTAGCATGACGTCGTCCGTCTGAAATACTTCTCTTTACGCAAGACACAATGGAATAGCGCTTACAAAAGACAATGGAATAAATTTTGATTTGAAAAAATGAACAACAAGTAGATGTATACCAATAAATACACAGATGAATACAAATTTTTTGTAAAAATAAGTGAATAATTGAAAATAATTGATTTATTCAAAATCTTGTCGCTGAGTGAATAATGAATATACATCAAAATATATTCCCTATGTGTGTGCATGTGTGTGTCAGTAAAGGCATGGCATACTTAGCTTAAGATACTATAATATCAAGCTTTCTATTAAGTTCTCTCAGTTTCACAGTAAAAATGTCTCCAATAACTTTGTATATGATCATGGTCATTTTAACAAAACTGCTGACCATGTATCACGCGGTTTATTGTTACGACAAGGGAGCAATAAATTTCAAGAGACAATCTCTATATCATGTAGCGAGTAACACCAATGTTGATGTGATTGATGCCAGATACAATTTTAGCAATAGACCGGTTAATAGAAAATCGCTATTCGGAATTCGGTCCCGTAATTTGTGTTCAGTGTTGTGCCTAGCTGAGAACTTGTTTGCTTGTAAGGGGTTTGAATTTGAAGCCGGTACTGGATTCTGTAAATTGGTTACTGGGTTTCTAACTGGTGATTATGGCTCAAGTTTTGGTAATTTGCAAAAGTTCAGAACCAAAGAAGGTTAGGTTTTTAAACTATTTTCAAACTTAGTAATCATTTTTTGAATTCTATTTTTACTGTTAAATAAATTAAAAAAAACATTTTACAAAATTCACACCTCATTCAAAGTCTGCCCTGTAAACTCAACCTACGTGCCGTCAATAAGGTCTTGCGTGACATTGATGGTAGGAAAGATGAAATGGTCAGACGGTAGGGTCATGTGCAACAACTGGACATCCAACTCGCATCCAGTTATTTTGGATCGCTCGGACACTTTCAACGCCGTGCAGATCTATCTGAATTCAATACCAAGTAATTTCTTGCTTCTCCTTCAAAAACTTGTTTTACAGAATAATCTGTCTATATCTTTTTGTCATATTCGAACCCGGTTACTGCGAAACAACACCAGGCGACCTTAACCATTTGGCTATCACGCCACATGAAGATTCAGAATAAAAGTGTTTTAAAATTTCTTGGCAAAAAGTTTTTTAAACAACTTTTCAACATTCAGTGGCCACTCTCACCCAATGTAAGGACATGATTAATTGGAAAATTTGGACATCCGGAATACAGCAGCAGTCAGGTGGTATTGTCTGGCAACCCTATCGGGATGGTGTCATGTTCCCCATTGCTAGTTCAAACCTTTTGAATGCGTTTCAAGGGGGTGGGGGTGGGACTGGAGCACTCGAGAGTACGGCTGTAGTGTCAATATCATGTAAGTCCAAATAACAGGCGAATTAAATTTTATTTTCGTTCTTTCTTGTCTGCAATTTTTATTATCTTCTGTATGCTTTAGCAACATAAAACTTGTGGCAGCTCAGGCATGTAAATCAAAGGTGAGCAAACCTTAGCTGCTGTGAGGGCCGCATTGAAAACTATTTTACCTTTGGAGGGCCGCATATGTACATTTTTCGACAGGGGGTAAGTTTTTATGATGTTCATTTGTGGCTGACGATCTTTTTGGGTTATTTATTTCATTTTTCATTTTTTTTTCAAATAGCGCATAGCGTAAAACGCCTCGAGGGAGTCATAAAATGGCTTCACGGGCTGTAGTTTGCCCACCTCTGATGTGAACAAGCCTGAATGAAAGCATCTCACACATCTCGTGCGGTTGCCAAAAATTTCTTTCCGCCGCAGTTTTAAGAAATCTTTTAATGTTTCATTTTCTAAGTAGGCTGCTGTTCACTTCGTATTGGTTTCCAAATAGTGAATAATGTAAATTATTTTTGTAGCAAAAATTTTTAAGATCGACAATCGATTTGTACGTGTCTTCTGGCAACATCAGTGGAATGGAAACCTAATTAAAATGTTGAAAATTTATATTTTACCATTTGTCATGCTCTGTCTGACTTAACTAAGTTAATAATAGTGATTAAATAATACTAATTGGAATATTAACAGTAATATTAACGATTAAACATTTAATTATTGGTAAATAATATCGAAGATCACTTGAATGTCAACCGCGCTTATGATTAGGATGAGGACTTTTGACCAAAAAATGGTACAAATTTACGAAAAAAGTTAGCAACAAAAATACTTAGAATAATTATGAAAAAAATTAATAAATTATCAATAATATTAACACCGATTGAGAATAATAATTTAAAATTTTCAGTTTAATTCATTTTTACGTTGAAGTTTGAATACGTTTGTGTGTGTGTGTGTGTGTGTGTGTGTGGGTGTCTGGAAAATTCATCGTGGAAAAATTCATCGTTAAAAATTCACCGTGGGGTAAAATTCACCGTGGGGGATGGATAACTCATCGTGGGAAAATTCACCGTGGGGTAAAATTCACCGTGGGGGATAATTCATCGTGAGGCTAATTTGAAGTTTTATATATATAGTTAATTTTGGCGGTGATTTACTAAAAACGAAAATCCTGATGGTCACGTAGTTGACAATTGAGACAGGCGTATCGAGCGGTCCGGCCAATATTAGTGCCGACCATTTTCTGGAGACCTACTTGCAGAGGGTTCGATCGCGAGCCGAGCAAGTGCAATTAGCTTGAAATTCACTCGAATTCAAGTTGAGATTTGTCGAAATTAATTGAAACGAGTCGAAATGTGAATTATTTTTGAACATTCATTAATAGATTGTTGATTGAGCGATAATATTGACGACGACAACTGTACCAATTATTTGATAAAAATTAATTAGTTAAGCCGAATAATGAATCAATTTTGGCAATTAATTGACAAAATAGGCCAAATGGTGAATAGATTTCGGCATTTTTAACGGTCAAACGATAGTTAGCAATTAGTATTATATTGCACGATAGAAATTGAACTTACCGCAGCTGGTCCCCCACTACTATCAACAATAATCTAAGTAAATGAATTCGATTTCGATTATCAATTAATTAATTAAACGGCCTCACAAATATAACCGCTCCGGGCCTCAATGCCTTATAACAATACCACAATGAATTATTCATTATGAATTATTTTACCTCAAGATGAATTTTCCTACGATGAATTTTCCCACGATGAATTTTCCGTATATCGTTTATCTGTGTGTGTGTGTGTGTGTGTGTGTGTGTGTGTGGTGTGTGGTGTGTGTGTGGTGTTTAAAAATTATGTTCATGGATAAAATAATTGAAACACTCCCAATAACAGATTGCGTGAACCCAACATATTCCATGCAGTTAAATCAGGTAGACTGCTCACAACTTTTCTGCGTCCTCTGCCAACTTGATCTTTATTAGATAGAAAATCAAATGTTTTTTGTATCATTTTAGATGATATTATATCATCTATATATCTTTTTTCTTCTGTAGAACAATTTTTATAACAATTTAGATATTATATCTCGATACACATTTTTTTAAATGATTGAGTGACCGTTAAGGTTCGTGTGTATTAAGTCTAATGGAAATTTCCATCACCTCTTTTTAAATTTTGCTAATTATATAATTATATTATAATAAATTATAATTATAATATAATTATGGTGAATTTATTATTACCGTACAAGTTCAGTCTGTAACGTCATCAATGTGGCGACGCCAAGTAAAGTTTACATTGGAACCAATTTGATATGGTACTCTTGTGTGAATTCTAAATTTTTTTAATTTTTTGGCTTTTTATTTTGCAGCTCTGATAATCACATAACTCGGTCATTAAATATTCTTCTATATTTATTATACAATGTTTACAAAAACTATTATTGTTATAAAAGCGTTATTTATTTCCGCACTTTGAAAATATTTTTAAATATTGTACACGAGCAAACTTATAGAACTGTTTTAAAAATATTGATACAATTGGAATGAAATTTTATTAATCAGTTTTATTTTTTTTTCTTTAAAATATATAGAAATTTATCAGTAAAAGTAATTAAAAGATGTTTGACTGGTTGTTGTGTTCAGACTCAGAATTAACTTACACTCGATTGAAGAAACAAAAAAAAGCAAGTGTTCATTTAGATATGGAAAATTTGTAAATCTATTTGCTGAACATTTTTCAAAATACCATATTTTAAAAATCACTCGCTGAGTTTGAAATTTTGTAAAATTTCAATCTGAAAATGTTTTCTACTATTTTTGGTAATTAACTTAATTACTTTTAATAACAAATTACATCGTCGCCCTTTCAGAGCTTGAAAGACTGAAAAATTATTTTAATTTGAGATTTCGCGAGCGTTCTGAAGTACTGAGTTTCATCGATTTGAAACAAACTTCGACGTTCCTTTTAATTTCGTGCGTTTTTATGATTTGCTGTTTAAAGTAAATTTTTAATGACAGATTATTTAGAAACTTTTATTGTTTTAATCTTTAAAAAACAGTATTAATAACTCTATCCACATCGTCTTACCAGATATCAACAGAAAACTTTGATAAACTTTTCGAGAGTTTTCACGAATATTTTATCTTTTAAAATTAAAGAAATAACCTTCAGTTATGAAGATTCAATTGGCGACGATTGATATTAAACTTATTTTAATATTAATTCGTATAATGAAAATTGGCAGTTCAACACAGTTATCAGCTGTTTCATTCCAAGAATTTGGGAACAATGATGCTACATCGGCTTCCAGTGCTATTCCTACCACTACCGCACCTGAAACCAGCAGTCAATTTTCTGAAACCCTAAGGCATTCATCTTACCACGTAGCAAGCAACATCAACATCGATGTTATTGATGTCAGGTATGATGTGATCAATGGTCAAACAGAATATATGTTGGTGTCAGAAGTTCGTTCCAAAATTGAGTGCTCGATGAGGTGTTTTTCTGAAAAAATGTTTGTCTGTAGAGGATTTGAGCATGACGACAGTTCTGGGGAGTGTAGTTTGGTTAGCGCCTTCAAGTCGGGTGTTAATCGGTCTGAATCTAGCACGACTCGCTATCGTTTGAAAGAAGGTCTGTTTGTTAAGTTTGTTCCACTTGATCAATGTTTTTTCTTAAAATAATTTTTTTTAAAAATATAACAGAATATCATTGAGTTTAAAATTTTAAATTAGTTGTAAATACAAGAAACGGTTTAAAAATGTACAAATAGTTAATAAACTAACTTCCAGATTGCCCTCCAGACACAATCTACTTCTCTGCTTTGAAATCGTGCTTGAAACTGATTTCAAATTCTTTCAGCTGGTACGAAGCAAGGAGGGAATGTCTCAAGGAAAATTTCCACCCTCTGATCATTGATGAAGCTCAATATTTGTTGGCTGATGTTAAAACCTTTGTTTGGAAACTTTTGTCTTTTTTTCCAGGTTATCAAATTTCAAAGTTTTTATTCAATTTTGAAATTTCTTTCTTTACATCCCGTCAAAAATTGTTTTTCAACATAGCTACATAGCAAGTTATTTTGGTAGGGCAGGTAGTTTGATTAAACTAAGTTGATAAAAAACAAAATGAAACTAAAACTTTAATGAAAAAAATAACAACGACACCAGCTCACAAGCTTCTTTATGTTGACTTTTATTTATTCAGCTTATTTGTGAAGCGGTTGTTTGAAAAGCTTGCTAAAAAGAATTTATCACGCCGAAATTTCAACCGATAGCGATTTGATTTATTAATACTGAAAACGTCTTAAAAACAACTTTTGATGTGATCTTTTGCACTTGTGTGTGATTATAAGTATATAAAGGACATAAAAAGTTACTTCATTGATGTATCTGGCAAAATTATATTTAGTTTTATGTGAATAATTTTTGAATTTTTTTTTATAATAAATTTTGAAATTCTAAAATTATAAACTTTATCCTTATTTTTATATAAAAAAAAACTATTTCAAAAAATTATTGAAAACATGGTTAAGATTTGTTAGATTGCCTCACTTTCAGGCAAAAAATGTTCATTAATAAAGGTATTCCGAAAATTTGGACTGCTGGAAAATTCGAAATCCTGAGTAACATGCTTTTGTGGAAACCGTACAAGAATCAAACATCATTCCCTTTTGCTAATCTAAACTTGGTTACTGAAAATTTAAATGAACAATGTGAGTTGTATATGAATGTACAAACTATAAATGAAACAATGATAATGTTGATCGTGAGAATAATTTTGCCTGTAATGTGATGACGATATTTTGTTACTGGGTTGACTGAAACATTTGTGCTTAGTCCAAACTCTCCTAAGCTTCTCTCCTTCATTTCTCTACCAAATTCTTTTTTTCAGTTTTGGTCATTATACCATACGAATTGTTTTTATTCTAGCGTTACCTTTATTAATGAATATTTTTGAATATTTTTTTGCCTGAAAGTGAGACAATCTTTTTTGAATCGGTTAGAAACCTTTTGTTCGCCAATCTTTTCACTTTATGCTAAGTTTTATGGCTTTTTGGTTTATTTCTTACTGGTTTATTTTGTAGCTAGTTGCATACAACGACAAAACTTTTTTTATGTCAATATAATCCAAGCTATAGTTCAACGAATCTACTTAAATGGCTTCAGAACTGCATTTTTAGTTATTTGGTTGTTTTAAGTTGTAGCCTTATCATTTTATCATTTTGCCACCCAATGCTTCTATTTGTAAGATTGTTAATGGTCTTAATATTTATCAAACTAATGACTATGATCCGTGACAAGTTAAAAATCAATAAAATTTGTATAATGTGAATTAGTTTAAGAGTGTCTCATAAACTTAACTAATGGTGAACTAATTTTAATACCTTAAATGATGTTGAAGTGAATGTTCACTATAAATTGAGTATTTTTTGTTGGAAAACATTGTTTAGACTAATTAAATGGAAAACATCAAAATTTGCTCTTAGTAAGGAATAAATAACGTTATTTAAAAATTTTTTCACAAAATTTTAGACTGCGTGTACCTGAATACAAGCTCGTGGACCCTCGTATGTTCAAACTGCTCAGATAAGTTTATTGTCGTCTGCCAAATGGAACTTTTTTGAAAAAAAAGGAAAGAAGAAGAATGACAAAGCTCTCTGATCATTGAGTTGCGGTAAATGAACACATAATTTGATTTAGAAGCAAACTGACTTTACATTTGCATTGCTACGTTATTGTGTTATATTCTAATTTTGTCAAGTCAAGTTAGGCTGAACAATTTAAAAAAAACGATTGAAACTATTTGAATTTTTGTAGTTATCAATAAGATAAAGACCATTGTTTATCAACAGTAATGGGCCAATATCGTTAATATCAGGTTAGGTTATAATAGGTTAGGTTATAATAGGTTCATTATTTTTGTTATGTGTAAAAAGTTTCAAATCAACTAAAAAATTTATCTAAGAGATGAATACATCACACCCATGTTTTTTATCTATCGGGTTGAAGTTTGAGGGTTAAAAAGATGTAAACTGAGTAATTGAATATGATCTGGTATGATCTGGTAGTCGATACTCCTATGGTTTTACAACATGAGGTTGTTTTGGTCTGTTTTGAACAATTGATTTGTAGAAGACGTTCATGATTAGTAAATGTTTTTTTGCTAGTTTTTATAGAAAAAATAAACTTATCGGAAAATTTGTTAGTTCATAGACATGATGAAATATATTATTTGAACTGATGTTGTACAACATTTGATATTTTAAAATTCCCAAATTTTTTTTATTTGTGTCAGTATAGTCTATTTATTTAATATTTACAAATTATTTTTATTCTGCTGTCTTCATTCTTAATTCTAATTAAGTTACAATCAAAGTTGCTGTAAAAACAAAGACACGAAGACAAAATTATTTTTGGTGAACAATTATTTAAATATAATCTATACAGTTAATCGTGATAGTTTAAATAAATTCTAAAAACAAAATAATGCGTTACAGCAGGGGTAGGCAAACTTTTTGCTGTGAGGGCCGCATTGAGAACTATTTTACTTTTGAAGGGCCGCATAGTACTTACTTAAACAGCAAACTTTTTTGCCTCGGGAGTTTTTTTTTCGGTCAAGGCGTTACAATATTCCAACTCTGAACAAAGTTTCAAAATTTTTAATTAAATTTTCTCGATTTTATGGCATTAGGCAAATGTAAAAAGCTGAATCGTAACAACTAGGGTTGATTTAAAATAATAACACACACAAATTAAATTTGACCACACTTGGAGATACTGTTTTGTGTAAGTTAATTAAAAAAAAATCATAATTTAATATAACTTTTGCTGTAAATTTGGTTTTGTTGAGACGGGTATGTTGTTGAGATACGCACTGATCTCTAGCCCACTATAATTTTCTACATCAGCAATTTTATCTGTTTGAAGTTTTAAAACGCGCTTATTTAGTAAAGTTTGTAGTTAGACAAACAAAAGTCTATCGAAACGAACCTTATTACAGGCTAGTCCACCTCCAATTATGCGGTTGAATCAGATAATGAATATTGTGAACTAAAACGACGGATAGCAATTAACGTAAGAACGGTTTCAAGCATCAGCATTACAATTTTTCGAAAATTTTAATTTTACGGAAGTTTTCGTTAAAAGAATCAAATCTGTAAACTGTTTAAGCTTAAATAAATTCAACAACATATTAAAATTGCCAAAAATTTAATCTAATTTTTCAAAATAATGTGTCTCAAAATAAACAATTTATTTATTTTTGCGATTTTATCAAGCATTTTTTCTGCTACCAATAAAGCAGTTAATTCTTGTAGCAGACAATCAAGGTATCACAGAGCCAACAATACCCTCATCGACGTTATTGATGTTAGATACAACTTCAGCAATGGACCGCCAAAAAATAAATCGGTATTCGGTATTCGCTCTTGTATCGCGTGTTCGGCTTTGTGTCTTTCTGAAGAATCTTTTGCCTGTAAAGGGTTTGAATGCAGGAACGGCATCAATGAATGCAAATTAGTTACTGCTTTCTTGACAGGCGTGAGTAACTCAGCTGGCAACCTTAAAGAGCGATATCGTTTGAAGGAAGGTTGGTTCTTTGGGTTTTAAGAAATTAAGTCAAAAATTTGAATGATTCATCGCGATAAATTATTTTTCAGCCTGCCCTGCCACCACAACTTACGTACCATCAATGAGGTCCTGCTTAGTTCTCATTCCCAGACCGATGACGTGGTTGACAGCCAGAGATGAGTGCAACAACATGACCTTGAACTTTCACCCTCTTATAATTGACAGCTTGGACACCAATTTGGCCTTGAAAAACTATCTGAATTCTTACTTCGGTTATACTAAAATATTTTTTCTCATTATATTTTATTCTATTATCACTAAAATAATAGATCATTAAAATGTTTTAAAAATTGTTTCTGAGCATTTGCTCTAAAGCATAGCTACTTCAATATTTTTTTAAATTCTTATTCATATTTTCTAAATAAACCGGTGTCTGACCGAAAGATATAGCCTAAAATAAAAAAAAGTTAACAACGACTTTGCCAATTATTTCTATTTGTACCACCTGATGTTTATAACTATTTCCGAATTTTCACAACAGGCACTAAGGCAACGGTCTGGAATGATGGCACTGACTGGAAGATATGATGTGAAAAACGTTACGCTCTATTCAGCTGGCAACCTTACAAGAATGGAGTCAATTTTCCATTCCTTTATGCTAATTGGGCTTTTTATCAACCTGATCACAGCTACATAAATAATGGTAAGTTTGCTGGTTGCTAAAAAGTCGGCAATTTCGATTCAAATAATAATAATTAGGTGTCTTCCTTTTTTAGCTGTTTCAATTTCCCCAACACACTGCTAAATTAGGTCCTCTGCAGTTCGCACTGATTAATAGCTAAATAAATAGATGACCAATATTTTTTTTGATTATATCAGGCTGTATGCATCCTTTTCCAAGCTACTTATGGGATGATGTGGATTGTACTCGCAACGATTTCTGCGTCATCTGCCAGCTTGATCTCTATTGAATTGGTGTGTACCATTAAAATGATTGTTGGTTTAGAGTTGGTGTGTGGTTTTTGGCTTGACTACCTGCTTGTAGCGCATACAAAAATGTTATGTTGCAGTAGAGCTAAAACTATGAGAATCAAAAAATACTAACTTCTCTGTTAAAAACTTAACGGAAATTTATTTGCCTAAGTTTAATAAATTTAAATATTCTAAAAAATTTTTCATTTCAAGTTAAGAGCTAAGAGTTAATAGTAGTTTGTAGTTTTACAGACAATCTCTCTTAACTCTTAGCTCTTAACTTGAAATGAAAAATTTTTCAGAATATTTAAATTTATTATCGTATTCTAGAATACATATATATTGTTAAGATTCAAGGAAAAACACACTCACACACATATATTTATATTCTCACAAACGCACGCACACACACACACACACACACATACGCAAACATACAAGCATTAAAGTACACACTTATACTGGAACAAACCTTGTAACTCTAGAAAATATGTTAAATATGATATTTTAGACCAAATATGTTATTTTAAAAACCCTCACTTTTCGTATGCTTTGTAGTTTTACAGACAATCTTACTGTAAACAATAAAATTAGTTTTTGCAAAATTTTGTTGAATTTTGACTGGTATATAACTATGTAACTAAATAATATTATAACAAAAATTTTTTAAATCTTTCACATTATAAATTGACGTTTACTTTCATTCAAATCTATCTCCTCCACAAATGAGATCAAGACAACTTGAAAGAAGAGATTTATTGAATATATTGAAGATATTCTAGAATTGCTCTTCCATTTTGGAAGAGCAATTCTACATTCGATGGAACCCTGAGTTTCCTTCTGATCCGATCGTATTTTTCACATTCAGTTAATATATGCTAAATAGATAAGATATTGAATGAAAATGTTTGTATTCATAGAACTTACAACGAATACGAACACTTTGAATGATATTTTCATATAATACTCAAACATGGACGCATCAACAAATGCAATTAAATATAAAACACACACAATATACAAAAAAAATAAAATCCACAAAAAAAAGACAATCAACCTTGACTTAAACTTATAAATTATGAACAAAACTGACAATGCCAGATGGCGAGCAGCGAAAAAGTCAATATTTTAAATAAAACAACATTTCTGAAATTTCCAACCTCAATCTTTCCATGGAAAACATACACAACAAAAAAGTCGCTGAAGAGCTTGAAATAACATTTAAAAAACTAAATAGAAAGAACAAAATAGATTTATAATGCAAACTAATGCATAATAAATGAACCTGCAATTGTCGTTTTATGAACGACAGAATTTAGATCAATATCTACAATGTTAAAACATGCAATTTTCATTTTCGGCTGGAACGTAAACTTACAACCAAAAAATTTCATTTGTATATACACTGTACTTATAAATATACGCATACAGATCTTTTAATTTAATATAATATCCCAGCTGTTTATACATTTCAACTAATACCAACAGCCAGCCACATTTGTAAGTTCAAATCATCTTCATGTATAATGAATCACAAACTTTGGCTTTTGGAAATTATTTCTAAGGCAGAGTGTTTATCAATTCAAGTTTGCTTTGTGGTAATTTTTGCTAAATTTAATTCGGCTTACAATCCTAGCTCTGAGAATATCCGACAATCAGTATACCACGTAGGCCACTTAAATCCCATCAACGTGATCTCTGTGACGTACAACTTGAATAATGGCCAAATTAGGAGTAAAGTTGTTATCGGGGTTCGCTCTCGTGTCGAATGTTCCGTCCTGTGTAGGTCTGAAGTATCGTTTGCTTGTAAAGAATTTAAATATGAGATCAGTGGCGGTAAGTGCCAACTGGTGAATGTCTTCATACCAAACGTCAATGATCTGCCGGGAGAAATCAAAGTTCGCTACAGTTTGAAAGAAGGTCGGGTAATGTATATATTTATTTTTATTAATATTATTTTTAAAATTATTATTACTATAATTTTTATTTTTAATTTTTTAATTAACTCCATGAGATACCAATAAAACACACAGAAAATGTGAGAAAGCGTGAATATACGTATCACAAACATTGCATGTGACTTGTGGAGACCTTTTTGTATTCAGCGCTTTATTATTTTAGCTGTTGTTAATAATATTATTTATAATAATATTATTTATTTATAGTATAATATTATTTAGTTACATAGTTATGTACCAGTCAAAATTCAACAAAATTCATATACATATACATATCATATACATATACATATCAAACATAAACAAATACATATTCATAGTATTTTTTCGTCCAATAAATTTTTACTCTTTTTAAAATACTAGCTACAATGGCAGTTGAATTTTTTTAAAAGTAATTCCCCCATTAATTTGCCACAGCTTGTCCTCCAGGTACAACTTACATACCGCTGATTAGATCTTGCTTGGTCCTGATAACTCAAAAAATGTCTTGGTTTGACGCCAGATTGAGATGCAACAACATGCCACTGAAATTTCATCCTCTGGTCATAAATAGTCCCGATGTCACAGTGGCTCTTATTATTTTCTTGAATTCGCTATCTAGTTAGTTTATGTTATGATAGTTCAACTTTTTTTTTATAAAATTTAATTGTTTATCAATAAAAATTAGTTGCATATGTTAATTTGTGAGCTTAAGAAGACAAAAACAGTTTCTGAAATTTGGATGAAAATTACATTGGTTGATTTTCTGAATTTTGTGCTTCACCAAATTTTTCCACACTTTTATTCACAGAAATATTAAAAATAATTTTAGCAATCTGGCAGAGACAACCTTCAAATAATTGGGAAAATTTTTTTAAATAAAAAATTTCTTGCTCCAACAATGTAAATATTACCTTATCTTACGAAGTTTAGTTTTTGTTTTAGTTTTTGTATTTAATTTTTCTAGCAAGCATTACTAGCCAGTGCACAAATCAATGGGACTGGACGATATGGACGGCAGGGATTTGGTACAGGAATTCTGGAAGTCCTTTTTCTTGGCAGCCGTATCAGGATGGTGCATCAATCCCATTCAGTTATCTAAACTGGGGACCTTACCAGCCGGACTATTCCAGTCTCTCCAATGGTCAGTTGTGGTCATTTTTCATTTTATTATGTCACTGATACGTTTCTGTACTCTGTCTTCTATATGCTATTCATCCTCCGAGATAACATGTTAGAGTATGTAAATGTATGTATGCATGTTATTTTGTACGTATATATATATATATATATATATATATATATATATATATATATATATATATATATATATATATATATATATATATTATATTTATATCGTTCGTTTTATGTACTTACGGAGTCCGTACAAGTTAATAATAACTTCTGGCATACCAATTCTTAAATATATATATATATATATATATATATATATATATATCCTTTATGAATGTATATGATCTGTATATATATATAATAAAATTTCTTTCTCTCTCTCTCTATGCCAAAAGAGAGGGAAAGAGATAGAGAGTTTAAAACCAACGAAAACCAACGTCTTGTTTCACAATTCTATGACAGGCTGCTTGCATCCATTCCTCAACACATTCCAGTGGGACGACATAGAATGTGGCCGAACCGACATCTGTGTCATCTGCCAATTCGATCTCTCTTGATGGATTATCTTTATATTTGTATTCATATTCTGTTACGAATCTCTACCGCTCATTCTTTTTTTGTTATTTATTTTTATCGAATTAATAGAACGGTGAATTTCGAGCAGTATAACAATATATATTAAAACCATTCTTTCAAGAAGAATGAAAAAGAAATGCAATTGCATATATAAGCAAACATATACATAGATAATTACTGAAAATGAGTTGCAATGATTAATTTGTAAAGTATGACATATAAAAAAATTGATCAATAAAGTAAATGATTAATAGATTTCACGTACATACGAAATCAAATAATTTTTTAGATGTGAAAATAAATTATTATGGATTTGTCTTTGTCTTTATTGATTACATTCTTAATATTTCAATCTTTCAATAAATTATTATGGATTTGTCTTTGTCTTTATTGATTTCAATCTTAATATTTCAATCTTTCAATATTTTCACTTTTTTTTGTGAATAAATGGAATTAAAAAAAAATCATGTTAATTTGCACAGCGCTTTTGAACGGATGCGAAATCTTCCGGATGGCTTTTTATGTTTCCACCAGCAGCTTGTTTCGCTCCAGCATCTCCTCTCAACTCTTCTCTACTTCCAATAAGAGACTATTTTTTGTCCGTTTGGGTTGTGGAATGACGAGAAGATGAACAGCAAGCCAGACGGCTTACGACAGACGTTGAACATGATTTCCATAGCTGAAGCATTTTGGTCAATTCTTTCCGAAATTTTTGACCGGTAGCACAGTAGAGGAAGAAATTTGTGGAATGGTTTAATAGCATTAGAAGGTTTTGGATATTTGAGGCGGTCCGAATCCTGCGGTGTTATATTTTTTTCAAAATGAATTTTTTTTAAAATGAAGAATCTTGAAATGCTTAACATCAAAGATTCTAATTAATAATTTTTTTAAGTAAAAACTGTCTGTCATAAAAATACTGTTGAATGAATCAATCAAGCAAACTAAGGAGCTGAAAATCGCTAATAAATTATATTGAAAACGACGGTTTAGCTTGGAGTTATATAGTGAAAGGTTAAAAATTAGGTTAAAAATTGAAATAAAGATGAGTGTCACGGGTGAAATTGTCTACTGATAAAAAAATTGATAATGAATTAAAAAAAAATTCATTCAAACTTCTCATTACGAAATTCTGCAATTTTACCCTCTGCTTCTAAAATATTGAGGAAAATGCTGAAGATACAAAGGGGGGCGGTAAAGATAGCAAAGGCGAAAGAGATGCTGAGCAACATGACGACACAACTCTTGTCCTTAACCTTCGTAGTTGCTGAACCTTTGGCTGTTGTTGCACTTTGTTGTGGCTTCGAATTAATATTTGTCTGAATCTTGAGACGTTGTTCGGTGTTTTGAGTTTGCGAATTTGAATTGTTTGTTGGATGTTCATCGTGTTTTAAATTTTCTTTACTGGAGATGAATGAGAAACTTGTTTCTCCAACTGTGGATGACTTATCGCTGTTCGGAAGTTTGCGACCTTGGTTATTAGGACAAAAAAAAATGAACATTTTAATTAAATTTTGTAAAACTGCCGGTGTGATAAACGTTGTGAAATTTCTTCACTTGTATAAAATCATCATAAGATGCAGAAGTTGATTCCTAAAATTTGGAACTGATTTATGTTTATGGCATAAGAGACATGGTTTAAAAAAACCAGTTGTCATTATTTGTAGATATGTAAATTGAGAAGTTGATCAAAGATTTTAATTTATTTATAAGCTTATATTTTTTAAATCAAATTTCTTGAAAAGATAAATTTTAAAATCTTTAAAATGTCATTATTCACATAATAATATCCATGTAAAATAAAATTGGTCATTCTTTATCGAAATTTTTTAAAAGGGGTCACAACAAACGACCCCGAAAAACAAAGCAAATTGCTTAATTTATAATATTTTTACTTTTACAGTTTCGATTCATAAATAAAGTGTCTTTTAATATATGAAAAAAATATCTAATATAATAAAAAAATGATATATAACATTTTTTAATGATTTTAAATATTTTAATGAGAATTTTGTCTTATAACAAACTGATTGAAAATTCATAATCATTAAGTTAGAGAAATAAATGCTTTATAAAATAAATAAATATTTATAAAATTTATAAAAAATTATAATTTCAATAAAAAAATTATTTAAAAAACTATCAAACCCATTAACCTATGGCAAATATTTTTCTCCATCCATGTTTATTACAATTTCCAGGGTTACTGACCGAGGACTGTGGCTGATTCAACACCAAACGCCTCTCCTTTTCAGCCAAAATTAAGCGTTGTACGATTAACGTGTTGAGAATGATGATAATTACGAACGGTAAGAAGGAGTAGAAAAATGCATCGAGCCAAGGATTGTACTTTGTTTTAAAATTCCAATAACCTAGACTTAGTGTATTGTTACAAGCACAGTAACTAATCATCTGAAGAGGGCAGAGTCTGGTTCCAAATGGTGTCACTTCGTAGATTAGTGCATTTCTTACCAACTGTTTTGAACGTTTAGACAAAGTTAAAACTTTGCAGTATAAGACAAATAACATCTGAAGTAATACACGTTAGAAATTTTTAAAAACATTGAAAAACTGCAACATATGTGATGGGCCTTCGTGGTAAGTTTTCTGAATAGATTCGTTTATATTGTAGCATGCTTTCCAAAAGTAAAAGTGTTACAATATCTTACTTTTATAATATTCTGTTTTTTTTAAATATTAAAACTCTGTCATTGCTTTTTCGGCTCACTCAAGCTTTCTTCTTTCCATCTTTCCGCGTCGTTGAACTAGACAGAAAAGAGAAAGATTATGGCAATTTTCGTTCTATCTTAGGAATTTATAGTGTGTCCAAAAATATCTACAGATGCAAAAACATGGAATCAAACCGCGGATTTGACTAACTTTTGTTCTTGAATCATCTCCTGCTACCTTTACAAATGATCACGTTTGCAAGACTGTATGCCTGTACAGTACACTTCATTGTTGTGTTATCATTTTCAACGATACGTGAAGTTTTTACTTCTTATGAGGTACAGACAAATTTCTTTGTCAATTAGGGAAACATTTTTTTGCTTTCTTAATTTATATGGAATGATTGAAGTGAACCCATTTCAAATAAGTTTCAATGAGATCAATAAAGCCATTCAACAACAAGTAATTTTATATCAAAATGAAAAATGACTCTTGTAATCAACAAAAATTTGACATAATCAATGAACACATCAGGACTAACCTCTAACTGTCCGCTCCAGAAATAGTGGATGTTCACAGCAAAAAAGATGACCAGCAAAACACCAGTTACCTGCAAAAATGGTAGAACAATTTTTAATAACATTATATAATTCATAAATTTTACAAATTTGTAATAAAAATGATTCAATTCAAATAAATTCATAAATTTTACTAATTTTAAAAAAATAATTCAGTTCAAATAAAAAACAACAATGTTTTTTTTTAAATTTACAAATTAATTTCAATTTTGTTAGTTCAGTCGTCTCAGTCAGGATAATTTTTACTGTTGAAACTGTTTTTTCATTTAAAAAAAATAAATTTATGTTTTCTCATTTTTAATTGCTCACACACCTGTACTATTTATAAAACTAATTTTCTAAATAATTAGTCCTTTATTTAATTAATTGAATCATTAATTAATTAAATAGTGGAATAGTTAGCAAAGTTGAAACAACCTGCACGGCAATCTTCCTCCTACATATGGAAGCTGCCTTCAATGGGTAGCAAACAGCTATCAAACGCTCTACTGTAACGGCTACAATCAACCAGACAGCTAAATATTTCACTGTATTCAAGAAGACGTAGGTGAATTTGCAAGCTACGCTCGAGAAGTAATTTTGCAACCGTCTTACATTTAGCAAATAAAAATGAACTAAGACCAGTGTATCGGCTACTGATAAGACCGACAAGTATAGATACATGGAGTTTTTTTGCATTTCTTTACGAACTAGAACCAAGAGTGATAAACTATTTCCAAGAAGACCAACAATGAGGAGAATTGTAAACAGAATCATCCACACGTCAAACTTATAGATTATCCTATATACACTGAGAGTGTTTTTCAAAATATTTCGTGAAAATGTCGCCATAAAAAGGGGTTTTTCTTCCAATGGGATATCGTAAGTGTCAGTAATGTACTGGTATATTAGAGCATCGAAGTCTGGGTTTTCATGATTATCGCAAGAATCTGTGAAGAATATATTTGTTAGAAGGGAGACCAACCCGTGTTCTCTGAAAACCTCTTGGACCACTTCGTTGATACGTTCTACCATTATTGGTGGGAACACCGGTGTTGAGTTCATTTCAAAAATGTGTTTGAATTAGGAGTTATGAAAAAAAAAAAAATTTGGTAACCCAAAAAATAAAATTATTTTATTGATACTGTTGAATATTTAATCGAGGGATCTATGCCTTTTTGTAGCAGCTTATACCCTAAAAACGAAAAAAAAATTTTTTTTAAACAAATTAATCAATATTAATTAATAAATATGATTTATTATAGTTCATCATTAACTTAAATGAAGTATTAACAACTTTCGGATCACGTCACGCCTAAGTTTTATCTATTACGACCCTTTAAAGATCATTTCATCCAAAGCTAATGCTAAGCTAATGACGCCAATTGAATAAAATATAAATAATAAATAATTAATAAATATTAACCAATTTAAATAAAATGTAATTGGACAGTATATATACACACACACACGCGCGCGCGCGCACACACACACACGCTTTATATATATAACTAAAATTATACTGAACGCTGACGTACCTATTCGTTAATTGCCAGCAAGCTTAACCCGGATAGAGAGTTAGTAATTATAACTTTTTACTTTTGTAACTTTTATAATTACGGCAGGTAAGTAGTACACACACACACACACACACACACACACACACACACACACACACACACACACACACACACACACGTAGAATACAGACATGACGTAAATCATCCCATTAAACACACGTAATATTACAGTTAATTGAGAGCATGAAAAAAATTGTTTTACCGCAAAGAAATTTTCTAATTCATTGTCATCATCGCGAAAAAAATAATTGAGATGCTGAAATATTCACCAAATAATTGTTAACTGTACCTATTGCATTGTGTTATATTGAATTGTATGAACCACATTCTACTCAGTGTCTTTAATAAATGGTACCGTCAAATGTTTTGTTAAAAAGTTATACCCAAACCACAACGTGTCAGCAACTGTTAAACTTTTTGTCATCAAAACTTTTAAAAACTGGTTTTAATAAAAAAAATCATTGTAGAAGATAGTAAAAATTGCAAATAGAAGGTTGCCAAGATATTCAAAGACGAGTTTGGTGATTTATAAAAAAATTATTCAAAAGCCATTCTGCCATTTCTTCCAAGCCTCCTACAATTCTAAATCCGGCTTGTACGCTGATGTAAATGCAAGTTTCACATTCTACGAAATATAAAAATCATACCAAAAGGTTAAACAAGATTAAAAATCATTTTTCCTTTTGCACCTGCATGCGACAGGTGTGCATTCGAGTTCAGACACTGCAACTTCAAAACCAGACGCCTTTAACCATTGAGCTACCACTAACTTAAAGTTAACCAAAATAAACAAAGTCACCGGAATGTTTGAATATTTATTTCTTGCATGAAATAAATTGTGTATTTTATTTCACATTTTTATTTTCATGTTGAATGATAATTTACAATTTGTCGTACAATTCAATTTATTGAACGCGCTTACAGTATATTGTTCTGGGACTATCCTTAGCAAACATTCGTGCAAACTCTTAATTTTGTGTTCAACATTTAAAATTTCAGTCAATGAATGTTACGGCAACTTTGTCAAAGAGTTGTTTAAAATGTCTGCGAGAATTTAAAAATGCGAATTTCTGTGTAGTCTTGCTACTTCATTATCATGAACCCGAGTGACTGTATCTGTGTATCATGTGGTCATATTGCTGAACCGCCCATTCCGCAACTACCTTGTGGACACACACAATGCAGCCGCTGCATGCAAAAGCATACCTACACCAGTAAATTAATTTAATTTAATTTGTTTATGCAGACAGACGAAATTGGATTTTATATTAATTAAATAAATATTCCTGAAGATTTCATAGTTTGTGTAAAATGTGTAAAATTCTGGATGCCGGACAAACTTTCAAGGAATTTACCTCTCGAACAACTTCTAACCATACAATCCACTAAAGATGAGATAACTCGTTTACAAGGTTACTTTAATTTACTGGCTAACATCTGATTTAAAATTCAATAACTCTCCATTAATATTAAACAAATAAGAAATTAAACTAGATAAAGAATAAATTATTTTCTCAAGTGGATAATTGCCTAACGATAACCTTGTATCATGCAGCTGATGCTGAACTTTTTCCCAAGTTACTAGCAGCCGAGCAGATGGTACTCAATGTAAAAGCACTGCACTATTGTTCATCCAGCGGCTTTCTATACGTTGCCTACCTCTTTCAAACTTACATAGATGTCTTCTACTGTTACATAATTGATCAAAATGTCGTGAACTCTGAAAACCAAAAAATGCGTCATGTAGCGGTCCTAGAGACGCAAACCTTAACGTGCATTGAAGATATAACTGGCTATGAAAATAGAATCTTCTACTCCGACAGAGATGGATCTCTAATATACCAATACAAACTTCGAGAAGATTTTAGGACAGCGGCAAAAGAGAGCGAGTTCAGGCTTTACTTGAATGAAATGGGGACAGATTATTCCATTACTACACTCTCCATCACCTTCACTAACTCAACTCTATCGCTAACTAATGACTTTCTAAATGAACCGTTAGTTGTTTTTTCGACGATTAAAAATTTTTTAATGGCTTGAAATTTAAATTTGAAACAATGAATTCCATTTGTATATCGTTTGTTGCATTAGCGATTTAATTTAAATAGCGAACTCCATTTCAGATGTTTGTTGGCGACTACTAAAACCAACTTTCTGCTACTCATCAGCGCCGGAGACCAAATGATGATATTGAGAACTATATTTATACCTGGGCTATTTCCCAAACATGCACTCTTCCTAAATTCAAAAACGTTAGTAGTCACCGGAGAAGCAGACACGGAAAGAAGTTATTTTCTTAATTTTTACAACTTTGACTTTGAAAGTGGCGCTGTTCAGCCGAGACAAAGTAAATTCAAGAGCTTATCTAAATTCTTAAATAAATATTTGAATGATCCATATTATTTGGCGCACAATAGAACAAGTAAAACGTTGTTCATCGCAAACTACGGCTCGAATGATATTCTTAAATTATCCGGTGTGGATTTGGACGCCGGCGAATCTGTTGAAATTGATGAATGCCAAAAAGTCAGAGACCTACTGCTTAGATATGAGGAAGCGGAATACGTCAATACATTACTCTGTCTGTATAGACCAGATCATTCTCGGAGAATAACATACGGTGAGGATGCAAAATATTTATTCGAATGTGACTTTAATAAGAGAAATATATTCTGGTTCAAAATATAACAAAAATAATTGTTTGTTTAAATTGTTTTCTATACCTTTTTTCCACAAACACAATTATAGCAATTTGTTTCACAGTTTTTGTATTATTTTTTGAGTCGTTGAGAAAACAAAACCTATTATATTATAAATGACAAATTCGTGTTTTTCGTTTTCCTTCTGTAGACAGCTGATCCAAACAAAAAATGCTGAAATTAATCTTTATGAAAATTTAACGGCAGAAACATCAAACCAATAGAATATGCAAAAAACATTTTCCTATTTAAACAACGTTAAAATGGTCCAAACCATACAATACGTTCATACTTCAGCGATAAATAGTATACACTTACATACATGTTTGTTTGGAGACAAATAAATTTACAAATATACATAAATAATAAATACATAAATAGACATAAGCATAAATATAAACACATTCAAACTTTGGTTACAAAAATTCGGCTCAAATCTGATACCCGGCCTAGAAAATTTTTTATTCAACTGTGTAATTAAGGTTTTTCAATTTTGAATATCCGAAAAATGTATATAGTACTAGAAATGGGACAATTCCAAGAACTTGAGAACCGAGGTGTCTGGATCCAAATCCGAATTTTGACGATTGGTCAGGACGGACCCGAATCTGAATCCAATTAGCATACGATCGTAAAACCGAAAATGCTGTTTCGAAACGAAATACGCTGCTACGTGCGACAAATTTTCTGCAACAAACCATACAAATAATTATAAAACGTAGATGCATCGACTTGTTAGTAGTAATGAAATTCAAATTTATTGAAATTAAAATTTTCTCACACACGTCAATATCAAAACGGTCAATGTTATATTGTTCACTAATCCTATAGTTTTATACTAGATAAATTAACTTAAAAAAATTCTAACACTTTTTTCCAACGAATGAGCTATTCTAGAACTATATTATAGAATTCCTAATGGGTTCAAAAAATTTAATGAAATTACTACTTCTCTTACAAAAAATATTCTCTGTTTAATTATTCTTTATAAAAAAAAAACAATAAGTTTTTCCATAGCATTGGGTAATTTTTTATTAGTTCTCATTTTCAAACACCAAACTGGCTTCAAACAAAAATCTGCCGTAAAATATTAATATTTCCAAACAAATGGCTCAAGATTATAGATCCCATGCCATTTTTTTTACCATGCAATTAAACTCATACCTAATAGAATGTGCTACCAGAAATAGTCGTGAGTTATTGCGACAATTATTTTGTGATTATTATACTAAGAGATACTTCACAGGCAAACGTTGAAACAAAGAAAACTGATCTCTGAACAATGTGGTCGACCATATCTCATTTTATTACTGTTTGATTTTTGGCATTATTCAAAAACGGTTAAACAACATCTTTGCTTATATTGTCATAGAGGATAGAATAATAATAACATTATAAATAAAATAACAATAATAATCATAGAATTACAATTTATTGTTTCAATGTTGTGAAGGATGATGTGTAAGATGGTGTACAAGAGATAGAACCATGACATAAAATTATTCAAAAAATTGAACTTGATCACATAGCATATGATAGTCGGGGATCTTATGGGAATCGAACCCGGTTTATGCCACAACAGAACCAAACACCAACCAATTTTTGGAATGATATGAGAATAAAATTTTGTAATAATCAGTTGCCAATGATATGAGAGCTAAAATTATTTATTTGAGCTTTTGAATTGAATAAACCTTTCTGTCACTGGGGTGTTATCATTTTTAATTTTTGGAGTGTTTTAATTTATTTTAGGTAATTTTTCATGTCCAGTCTATTTATAACAAAAATAAATTCAAAGTATTTTAAATAAAAAAAAATTGTAAAATATTTTTGAAAAATCACTTATGAAAGAAATTTTCTATTATAAATCCCGAAAAACGAAAGTTTTGTAATTGTCAATATTACTTTTATGTAATATTCACTGTAAAGAAATTAAAAAATTGGATTTGTAAGAAGTTTAAAACGCACACAGAGAACAAAAAATGGCAAATTTGTCAAAAATTTTAACTTCAATGGTTAAACTGGATAGCAACACACGTATAAACACCCCTGTGATGAGAAATCTCTTTGCATTCGATAAGCAGGAAATAATTCCTCTAATACTCAGTTGGAACCGGGGATCGATCTGACTGAGTCGATGCAGAGGTTGATGAAGCCGCTTCACGCACCACTGCTGCTGGTTTCCGATCTGTTATGCAATTGATTCGCCTAAATTACAATTTTTTATTATCAATTGATTAAAAAAGACTTTTAATTTGGCAATAAATTAAGATTTTTTTATTAAACATTTGAAAAAAGGAGTTCCACTGATCGCAATATAGTATTATATTAGGATAGATGTTACTGAAAGAAACTGCAAATGAAGGTTTAGCTAGCAAATCCTTTATCATTAGTTTGAAATAAAAATTTAAACCAAGTTATCAAAAATTCAAGTAATCGAGAACATGATTTGTAATTTGCTAATTCGGAGTGATAGCTTCTTAATAAAAAGAGCGCTATGCATGTTTGAGTCGGTGTGACCTTGTTCGAATGCGAGGCAAACCTAGATTACCGCTGCTCACCGGAAATCATGGAAAGATTAACATTGCAAAAATGCAGTTTATGTGGTCATATGTTAGAATTTCATTTTGAAATGTATATTTCGGATTGCCATTTCAGAGATTTTAATTGAAAGAGATCTTAAATGATTATAAATCAAAAAATTAAGAGCTTTTTTGAGTGTACTAACGCCTCCTTGTACAAATTGAACAGAGTAAGAAGAGAACGGGGCAGGGAGTAACAGCGAACCACCACATGTAGTTATTTTGCTGGTCTGGTATGCTTTTGTTCGGAACTGAAACAAATTATATAAAAGATAATTAAATTAAATATTAAAATAAATAATTAAAGATAATATTTAACGCGTTTATTTCGTGTTTAAATTTTGTAAAATAAAGCCTTCTTTCATTAATTAGGACCTGTAAAATTTCATTCTATTTGTGAATTATTAAGAATACGTTGAATTTTTCTGAAAAAATAGTTTAAGTATTAAATTAGTACCTATTGCTAAATTTCAAAATATTGCATTTTTATGCTTGCTCCTTCACAAGTAGCACTGTTTTAACTTAGCATCAATTTACTTACTATTAATAATAAAAATATTATTGTTATTATGGTTTGCAGGCTGTAAAAATTTCAGCCTCCGTCAGAGTTAAATTTAATAAAAAGTAAATACTAACTTGTAACGTTGAATAATGCCCAGGGACCGCAATTTTCCACATTTTGCTCTGTTTTCAATTTAATGCAAATTCAAAATTGAAAAAAAAAATTCTTGTATCTATGGAAATTTTTATCACAAAATAACTTTTTCCGAAATATTTAATTCCCAATACATGCAAAAGTAAACAAAAGTAAGCAAAAGCAAAAGCAAAAACGAGTTCGGTTTCAAAGAGCCTCTTATACACAACTGCATGCTTCTTTCAGTCATTTTTATTGCTTTATTGAGTTTTTTATAGAAAATTTTTTTACGTTTTCACTGAGGTCTGAGAAGTTATTTGGCAGCACTTTTTTCCATTTCTATATTTTCTCAACTAAACATTATCTTCTTTTTCGTGACTTATTCTTTCAGGACATTGGCGACCCTCGACCTCCACAAAACACAATCTTTAACGCTTTGTAGAAGTTGAAATGTGATGATATTCAACAAGTGACACAAGGACTTCACGAATTTTATTCGTTGTTGACCGCAATTTTTTTTCTCTGCAATCTTTCCAGTAGTTGTAAAACCATTTGATCAAATTTGATTTAAAAATAACTTAGTAAATAGAAAGGCTTAACACCATCGTAGCCCAATAGATTTCACACATCTAAATTCGACCCTGCTAGTTGTTTTCCATAAAACTCTTTTCCAACTTCTCTTGATATATTTTAACAAAAAATTCATAAAGAGTTTCAAAACGTACTTGTTTCTAAGTTAGTTAAAGAGATCAATTGCACGCAATGCTAAGAGAGCTATAAAAAAACGATAATTTATTGATGGATTTCTTCTTTCGTTAAAACCTATTCCTGGTTGGTCCGAGTCATGTGGTAAGAAGAAATAGTTTAAAAATATGAAAAATAACTTAAGCAGGCATATAACGTTGCGATGATGATGATGTAAAGGTTGCTACGTTACAGTGGCTGCAAGTCTGAATACAGAGAGATTTTCACAGGACAAGTGACGTGATTGATGCTTCTATCACGCATTTTAACATGCTGTCTGCTTGCTGTGATCAAATCTGACAAACACTAAAATGAGACTTCTAGATAAATTTTTTTAAAAGAGTTTTGCTTGTACCTTTGATAAATAATCAAAACAAATCAAATAAGAATTTCACACAGCCCAAACCTGCAACAACTATGACGGTACCGTTGATTTTGTACTTCACAGCTGATTTATCTTGTAGAGTACATACGAGATTGTACACTCCAGTGCGAAATATTGAGATGGAACTGGGCACTGGCTTGGAGTAGAATGAAGAATCACCGTCGGCTCTGCCTATGCTGAAAATATCGAAACTTACCACTTCGAGGTTTGGGTCGTGAGACTCGCATTTGATATTTATGCATGGGGAGGTTACCAGCTCCGTCTGATTCTCGTTAAATGCTGTATAGGAGCCAATTTTTTTCTTCAAATTAATGTGAATGATTAAAATATTAAAATCACTTAAAAGCTGGAAATAAATAAATTTTTTACATGAAGCAGTTGAAAAAGGCTGAAGACGAAAGAAAAAATATATAAAACGCTAAAATTTTTAATCAATTAATATAATTTACTTACTTCTATCAAACTGTTTGGCTGTAAAAAAATTTATGTTTAAAATGTTTACAAAACTCGCGCAACTATGAAAAAGTAACAAAAACTATTTCAAAAATGTCATAAAAACAAAAATTCACAAAAAATTTACTAAAATTCTCAGCTTACTCTTAACAGCAACTATTACGCTGAACGTTTCTCCAGCTGATTCTAAACCACTGATACGGTTCTTTGGTTGGGCAGTAATTCTGTAGACACCTACCTCTTCAAAAGTTATCTTATTGAAATCAATTTTGTAAGAGGTAGAATTTAATTTCTCTTTCTTGTTAACGATCTCGACCTTGATATTCCATACATGAACGTCTGGTTTTGAAACTGCTGACAGTGTAAATGTTTCGCCAGGCTTCTCAAATATTTTGTCAATGGTGATATTTACCGGGAGTACTGCGTTTTGTTTTGTTTTTTTTTTTTGTTAGCGATGAGTTTATTGAACTAAAAAAAATCGAAAAGATTAAATAATGAAAATAATTTTGATACACGTGAAATGAGCTATAATTACTTGTAATACTTAAACAAAATGAAATAAAATATCTTCGGATTAATAAAAAATATTTATTATAGTTATAAAAACTTTATCACTAACGGACATAATCGTATTTGAATTTGTAGTGTGAATTCATGACGAGATCTTGGTTCGGGAAGGTGAATATAAATGTGATTGTGGAGTCCGTTGGAATGGACATGAAGCTGCTCACTATTGTCCAGGTATACTTTAGTTGAAATGTTGAAATAAAAATTATGTTTTTATATTTCAACCTCTAAAACTGTCTGATTAGATTTGAGTTACTCACAAATAAGATGTTTATAAAAAAAACTAACCAGCTAGTTAGTATTAAATAAAAATTATTATAAAAAAGATTTTGGCTAGAGTTATGAGTTATTTTTGGATCAAATATGAAAAAATACGTAGAAATACAAAAATTGTAATAATTTTTGGTTATTTATGTTAAGATTTTAACCTAGGCTCTCAACCAAATCTAAATTAAAAATTTGACTAAATCGAGTCAAATTTATTAAGAAATACAAATTCAACTGACAGCAGAGGTCACAAATAGCTATAATTTTAACTTATAAACAAAAATCATAATAAATCCAAAAAGAGTCGGTTGAATTTTGTGAATTTTGAGTTTTTAAACATAAAAAATCTTTACCTGAAATTCTCTTTCTCTTTCACTTTCGAATATTATTCGTGAAGAACTTTCAAGACCTTGCAGATTGTAGGTTATGTCAAAGGTTTCGGCGTACGAAAGCATTTTGAAGGATAGTTCACTAAAGTAGATGCTCTGGTTGAAACTTGCTGTTGTTTTTTCTAGTAATTTATCTATTTTAAATTATAAAATTTATATTTATTATGTTACGATTAACTAAAATACTTAACAAAAATTTGCTTAATTAAAAAAAAATAATGTCGATGATCTTACCACATATTAATATTTCCGCCCTTTTTGTTCGTTCCTTTTCGAAAAAAGTTATGGTGAATGAATTTTCATGGTTCTCCCTCTTGATCTCGGGCTGGTGGTATTCAGAGGTGAACTCGTCAGGGATCGGAAATGACCGTCCACGGGTCACAAATATAACGTTGCTGTCTAGGTCATTAAAAATTATAATAGTAACTTCTCATGAAACTTTTTAAATGTTCACGAGATTTGGAAATAATACTTTAGTTGAATTATTTCTATACAGCTCTGATGAAAGCAGAGCTGTTTCCATTAACAGCGCTGCTTGCAGTTGATTATTATAAGCTTAACAATCGGAATCCGAAACGCGTATTCCATAAATTTTGAAATTCGAGGTCTACATACACATGACATCGCATGAGGGGTGCAATTTTAATGAAGTTACATCGAAAGGCATTCTATTCATGTCAGTGCCAAAAAATTGCAACGCGAGTCAAGGCGCTTCTACAGTTTGAACCAACTTGCCAACCATCTGAAGCATTGTACAGTTGCTTTTAGTCACAAGTATTGTCACTGCAAGTTTCAAGGAAAATGTTCTAAAGTTGTATTAGGCTGAAACGCTTTTTATAAAGTAACTGTGGCGGTTCTAAAAGGAAGGCGAGGCCGTTGTGAGCAGTTTTAATAACCAAAGTAGTCTGAATCCGCTACTGTTTGGTGGTGAAAATGGTCATTGAAGGTAATTATAACACGGGCTGGCACCGTAATGGTTATGATGGTTGGCAGTGCTGTTAGTGATTAGGCTAGAATGCAGTCAATTTCCACGCTTCTCGTGCACTGTTTGAGATGCGCTGAATCACTCTGACTTACATTTGCTAGAGTATTTGAGACATTTGGAGAGGTTTTTAAAGAGAAAGATGCATGGAAATTTCAAAAAAATATATTTATAAGTACTATATGAAAATAATAAAAAATGTGATGTTTTTATTTTTGAAAGTTTGCCTAATATTTCAAAAGCAAACAAAAAATGTTTTACAAAATAATATTTCAACATACCAAATTCCAAACTATTAGCTAGAGTTTCATGCTCTAACTGACTGACAATTATAACAAAGAACCAATAACTTTTTAACATTAGACTACGCTTTGAAGATGATATGATCAGCGACTTTATTTCAATTTATTTAGAACTTCTCAATTATAAATCATAAATTATAAATCAATCAGCTGTGGGAATTTTTATATAAAACCTGGAGGAATTTTTTTAAGATACAATTCGGAATTTTTTCATCGTGTATAACATTAGCTGACTTGTGCAAAAAAATAATTGTAATTTTATTATCTTATATGGGAGTAGTTTTTTGGAATAGTGATGCTTTTAAAAGTTATGTGCTTAAATTCTGTTTGTTTTATATTGAAATTTCTATTTACATTTGGGCCGTGTTCTGAAAAGATTTCAGAATAGAATTTCAGTTAGAAATTAAATAAATGATTTTCATAAAAAGGTGAATTAATTTAACTTGAAAATAAAAGATAATATTTTCAAAAATTTCTATAGATAATTTCAAAATTTGGTTTTTCTTAAATATTATCTTCGTCTATGAAAATACATTCATGACGTTTTTTTCAGAAAAAGCAATAACTAAAAAAAAATAAACAATAAAAAGGCATTAAGTTTGAGAAATATACTTCAGCCATTGTTTTCAAGAATAAATTTTTTTAAAGTTTTGTGAATCCCGTCTTAATGTTTAACTCGGTTCAGTAAATTTAGTTTGTTTAAAAAAATCATCAAAAAAATTGTATCCAATTTCAACTGCTAATTTTTGGGTCAAAAAAATATCGGAATGTTGTTGGAACCGGTTGGAACCATGTTAAAAAGATTTTATAATTTCAACCTAGCCTCATTTGTTTATTCTGTGTTTTAATGGTCCGCGTTATTGTGATTGTGTTTGAGGTTATTTCATAATTTGCTGCTTACCAAAACAAAATGTATATCTATTTTATCTAAACAAAACATCCATACAAAGGTTTGCCCTTTAAAGATATAATTTTTGAAACAACACAGAAAAGTTGAAACTTGATTACGAATTTTTAATCATAACTCGAAAATATATAATGATTTTCACCAAGTTATCCGCCTTGCCTGTTTTATTCTGAAGGAACGCCTCAAAAGGTTACGTCAGCTCATTAATGTTGCAATATATGTTATGTGTCTGTTATGTTATGTCATTGTCAAACAAGTTTGAATGGGAAAATTTCAACAATTCTTCCCTAAATTCGCTGCTAAACTAGGATTTCGTCGTAACCATTTAGGTAAAATTTGCAAACAAATCAGAATAGAACTATTTATTATAAATGAAAAATTTATATTTCTCAGTTGGAGTTTGATAAAAGCTTCTTATTTGAAAGCAGTTGGACCCAATCGAGCACCATGTAAAGTTCGATGCATGACGGCCGAATGACAATCTCGGTTTCTCGAACGAACTTTTTTGAAGTTGTTCTCAATTGTATTATCTTACATTTGCACCAACATGCATTCTGCATCAGAAGATTTAAAATCAATCTTCCTTGCTATTATTCTTCAAAAATCAGGATCTGACAAACGCAGAAACTGTTACAGCATGCAAGGCAGTAGTAAGTAAATAAATAAATAAAAAAAACGGAAAAAGAAAAATGTTTAAACATGAAAAATAAAATAACGTAGAATAAAATAAATAATAGATGATAATAATAAAATAATTTAAAGAAATATCTGACATATTTTCTTCAGGCCTGAATTGTACAATGTAAAAATTCGCAATGCTATCAAAGATAAAGTGAAGAGATTTTTCATCGTATATACATGTACGGAATAATAAACTCTTTAAATAACTTAAAAGTAATTTAAAATTTTTAACTTAATGTTAATAGGATCAATATCGTCACCACCAGCTGCCAACACGCTCACAATAGTATAAATAACTAGAACAGCCTATTCGTACACTACACAGTCACGTATCTGAACGCTGAACCGAATGACATCCAAACACTTAACCATAAGCTTTATAGCTTCAGCAGTGCTAAGCAAGCCAGCAGAATTCACTTGTGTGAATTCACAAAACTTCGCAAAAGTTATTGTGATATTGTATTTTATTAGTATTCTTGAAAACATTAAGAAAATGAGTTATGAAAAAAAAAACAAATTCGACTGATTTAAAACAAACTTTTGTCACAAATTTTTTAGAAAAATCATATTTTGTCATCATCTTCATCTTCTTCATCATCCTCACCATCTTAATTATTACCACTTTCATTTTCACCAACATCGTTATCATTATTTTAATCAACATCATCATCATCCTCAACGAAATCGTCATCATCACAACTGTTACATCATCATCACAACTGTGACATCCTCATCGTCGTCATAACTATTATATCATCATCATGGCCATAACTATTACATCATCATCATCACCGTCGTCGTCAATATTGCCACCATCATCCAATAATATTGACACGAGGGACTGGAAGAACTATCAGAGACACATGTTTCATCTCTAAAGGAAAAAGATTCACCTCTTGGGCAGCCTTTGATTTTCGGAGGTTCGAATTCTCTCTTGACTCGGGCGCTATTGAAATCGCCACCATCTGGACCACCGTCTTCGTCCACTGACTTGCATTCTGTTTTAGAAAGTTTAAATTGAAATCTTTCATCAAACTATAACCAAAATTTATATTTGTTTATTATTTAGTTTATTATTTTAGATATGAAGTGAAAATAATTTACCAGAACAAATGAGTACAACCAGAACTGCGACTAAAACAATCACTTTGATCATTTTGAGTTTCAGCGAACTGATGGTGAGCCGGATGTGCGACTCAATATTTATATTGGTTTCTACAGTGGCGGATCTTGTCAACGTTGAAAGGAAGAAGGGCCGAACATGAAGAATGTTTGAAAATTCAAAATTTGGTGAGGGCGGCAAAAGTTTTTTCAAAATGTTTGCTAGTGTAGCCACAATTAAACTGGCGACCGTTTTATTTGCTTACCACGCAAATTTTTGGCCGATTTCCTTCCCCATTCACCCCCGCCACTAATATTTCACGTGCCAAACAAACTCAAAAACAAAAATTTGAATTAAGAAAATATTGATTTTTCAGGCTAAACTTCATTTACATGGACATGCAGCCACATATAATTTGCATACAGTATGCAAATTTTTTTTCTCAAAATTTTGTTAGAAAAATTTTCAGAGCTATTAAAATATACATAAGCACGTGTTGGTATTTGAATAATATATTCATAGCGATGTTGAATTTGAATAAAGTTGCATTGTTCCAATCATTGTCAGCTTAATTTCCAACATTAAAACATCACCTTCATTATCACAATAACAACATCATTTTCATCATCATTCTCAATTAAACGTCATCATCTTTTTCATCATCATCATCATCGTTATTTAAAAGCTCTGGATCGATAAAGCTAAAATTTTTCAACTGCAGAGTTGTCAACGAGTGCAACAAGCTGAGAGATGAAAAAATATGGTCAGAAACAACGGACAACTTTAAAGCAAACTTGGCGAAAGAAGGATATTAAAAAAAGTCTCAAAGTGATCTTGTCACAGTCTTAGTATTCTTGGATCACTATAAAAAAAATCTTTGTTATGTTGTGTTATGTATGTTGTCGTTATTAGCATTTTTATCAGCATCGTAATTATTAATCTTAAATAAAGTCATCGTCATCCCCAACAAAATCATCATCATCATAGCCATTACATTGTCATCATCGTCATCATCATCATCGTCATCACCATCTTCATCATCATCTTCGTCGTCATCATCATCGTCATCTTCATCGTCATCATCATCAGAATGCTCGTGTGAAAGACGAAATTGATGACAAAATTGGTTGCGTAATTCAGCTGAAGCAGCATTTCATCGTCAGGTGCACAACGTTTTCAAAATAATTTGCATCATGTTTTTTTTTTATAGATATCGCATTTTTAGCTTAATTTTCATATTTTTTTTTTACAACTAATAAAACGAAATGAATTGATACAATGTGAAATAAAATAAAATTCTTTCATGTGCTTTCACCTTTCAGTAGTTGTTAGATTTTCCATTTTTTCAATCCGCATGATGTGACCAAAAAACTTCAAATGCCCCGTCAAATTATCCTTAGTAATTTCCTCTTTTCATAACCGGACTGTTTTATTACATCCTCATTCGAAGTATGACAGGTCCAACTTGTTTTCATAATTTCTCTTAAAAAACACATCTCAGCAGCGTTAATTTTTTATTCTATTTCTTTAGAAAGTGTCCAGGACTGAGAGCCGTAAGTTAGCACAAGAAAAATGTAACACTCTAACAGTTTTAATTTTGTTGATATTCGGATTTTACTGTTGTTGAGGATGTTTTTCATTTTAGAATAAGCATCTTTCGCCATAGCTATCTTTCCTTTGATTTCCATATCATATTTACAACCCGAAGTAATCAGACTTTCGAGATAATTGAAGAAAATGATGAAAGACAGATATGAGTCTGACTCTAACCTGTAACAGGGTGAAGAGATCGAGAGGGCATTATTTGAAATTGGATACGTGTTCTTCTAAGAAGAATCTCAGAATGAATTATTTCTTCAATGGAATAGTGCCAGCAAGGGATGACTTACTTCATTAAGTTGTGAATACTGGTTGTTTGAATTTTTATTTTTTCTCAACCTTCTTTTCAATGCATTCAAAAAAGGATTTGATACTTCGGAAGAAACATGGAAGGTTTTTATGATCAAAAATATGATTGTCGACAGACGAGTTTTCATTTTAATTTGGATAATTTACAATTACTTCATTTTAAATATTTCATATATGTTGACTCTTTTTATTTTTTTTTCATTTAGATGTTGTCATAGATTGGAATTTGGTCCCTATCCCATTTAACTTATCATTATGTTTGTTTGTTTGTTCATTTATTTGTACGTTCGTTAGTTTATTTGTTAAATTGATAAATTGGCTTATTAAGAAAATTATTGACTTATATTAAAAAATAAACAGTAATTAAACTGGACCAAATTAATATGAGTATTAAAATAAGTAAAGTACATTTCTAAACAAGCTTAAGTTTGGCCAAATTTGGAAATTTTGATTACAGCCAGGAAAATTTCACATAATTATAATCATAGTAGTCGGTTTAGATGTTACAATGTTGGTCTGCTGCGTTTTAAACAAAATCAACTCCGACATTTTGAAGAAATCATTAGCAACTTTAAAGCAGAGAACACTGAGGAGAAGACGTAATTCTTACTCCGAGTGTAATGGAAATTGTTCCATTACATGATCACGTGGATTAAGTACAAGCACAAAGCACCTGTGCTTACCTAGGAGAGAGCGCCGTATGGTCACGTGGGTCGATTACTAGACCAAAGTACAAGCGCTTACTTAGGAGAGAGCACCGTGCATGTCTATAAACAGCCTACGCAAATAAGTTAAGCCTATTTCTTTTCTGTGGCTCTTGGGCCGGAGTTGACGTTAGTAAAATTGAGTATTGTATCGTTGCATTTTCATTAATTTGATTTATTCGAATAATTATTTAGTTAAGTTTTATTAAAGGAGGAATAATAATATATCTGTCGTTGCGTTTAGTAATATTGAACCCGTTACATCCGAGATTGAAATATTTCAAATTGTCGTCAGCCTCCGGGTGATTTCCGGCAGTGATCCCATCCAATGTGTGGTTTACAATGTTCAGAGCATCTCTGTATATGGCTTCCGTTTCCTGGTTCAGTTTTCTCTGATTTTCCAAGGATGCTAACTTCAATTCGACTGCCTGAATCTTCGCTCTGAGGTTGTTTAAGAGTCTTACAATTATTTCACGGTTTTCTTCGTTGATTTTCACGTCTTGTTTCACCTCATCATCTATTCAAAAACAATTCCTAGCAATAATATTAAAAATTTTAAAATAATTATAAAAAGGTACAAAATTATAAAACGAATTAAAAAACCAAAGAGATTGTGAGTGCATAGTTGGCCAGATATCCAGAGATCAATCTGAATTAGGCGAGGCATCACAAGGTTGAGGTCATCTTGACTTGAGTGAATCTTCCCTACTTAGTGATCCTTTAAATTTAGGCAGGAAAGAGCAGTCGAAAAGCCAGTTAGATCCAGGTAGAAGGATCTACCCGAGAAGCCATCAAGATTTGAGTGACGAAACCCAGCAGAGAAACCAGCCCGATATGGGTTAGTCGTCACAGCGAATGAGCCCATACAGTGAAAGATCGTCTCTACTTTCCGCACCATATTCAAAGATACTACCCAAGAATTAGGCTATCTTTCTGTTAAACATTTTAGTAAATGGAACCGCGCGAGTTTCAGAAAATGTACGAAGCCAACAAAGAAACGATTGGCTAAATTTAAATAGAGATACCGAGTGTTAATGTGATATGCTGGGAAGACGGTACCTTTTTTATTTATAGGGTATTACTTAAGATAATAAAGCATCGGAAATTTTAAATTTATTTGAATTCATCAACATAGTTGTTAGTGCACAACAAATTCATCGTCACCTATTGCCAAACTGGATTTCAGAACAGCTAGGACCAACAAAACGAACAGAGCAATCTTCATAGTTGTAGATTGCTTGAAATGAATATTTTAAAGTTTAATTAATCTTATTAATTTAATATAATTAATTTTCAAAAAAAAAGTTAATGGGTGAATAGTTAAAGGAATGGGTGAATAGTTAAATGAATGAATTGTTGAATAGATGGATAGCTAAATGGATAAATTGTTGAATGGATGGATAGTTAAATAGATGGATAGACAAGTACTAACAACAACAAAATATTTAGCAAAATTGCTCTTCAGTCAGCTTTTTTACTCACTCACTGTAATTTTCTGTAACACCAGTTTTAAACTCTTCAGTTCAATGTATTCGATAGGCTTAGTATCTAAATGTATAAATGCATATATACCCTTTGCGAACATTTATTTACCAGTACCTATAACATACACATACTCATAACAATCATATAATCTATACATATATGTACTTATAAATGTATATACGTATTCTATGTGTATCTTTATGCTGCAATTTATCAACCTATACTTTCTATATGCGCGTAGAAACTCCAAATATAAAGATTCAACTTCGAAGCAGGTTAACTTGGCAGGCGATGATAGTTGATTTACTACATAGCGTGCGCTCGCTAGAAGCCGATAGCCTGTCATTTTATTTTTTAATTTATTACTTTTTTCTGTTTTTTTTTGTGAGGATATTTTTTTGTGTCTTTGTTTGAAGAAAATTCTGAATAAAAATTTGTGTTTTGCACGGATTAATTATAGTAAATGAAATGTCGAGATATATTTTGCTCAATGCCTAATAAATGTTAATTTTTAACCAAATTCTATTTGAAGATTGAACTATAGCTGTAACAATAACGAAGGTAATTGCATCTATAAGTTTGAAAAAAAATAAATCACTCAGAAATTCTTTTTTTTACTTCAACATTGAAATAAAAATTTTATTTATTTTTGAAGAGACAAGAGCTGACAGCAGCCAATAAATAATTTCAAAAAAAAATTCGAAAAATATTTATCAATCAAATTTGAACATAAAATATTTTTTATTTTTATAAAATAATTGACGATTACTCAGAGCCACCTGCTTTGTCATATGCGAATATCTCTTTATTTAAATTAGAAACATTCATTGCCAAGAGAGAACAGAATTTTTCACTCAACGTTGATAAAGAAAATGAAAAATTTTGTAGTTTTAGCAGTTTTTGTCATGTTTTTCAGTCTTATTTCAGGTATTTGTCGAAATAGGCGTCGTTTCAATTCAAAGTCAAATTTTTTCTGCTTTCTCCAATAATTTTGGGGTGGTAGCAAAACTGTTTTTTTGCAGTTATATTCAAAATTATGCGTATTTGTGGGGAATTTTTAGTTAAACTATATTCAATTTTCATCCAAAACCGTAAACTTTTGGCAATTCGAATATCTAGCCGACAATCTGACCGGTGTCATTAAAAAGTTCTGCCCATCAAAAAAATTTCAATAATCGGCAATACGACCCAGCACGACACTGATATGATGTATTTTCAAAATGCCTAAAACCGAAAAATGTTACACATTTTTAATAATGCGTTTTAAACAATTTTGCTCCCAGCTGAGTCAGTTGCCGATGAGAAAGACAACTTCGATGACTTACTTTCTGATGTGGATGCCAAGTTGAAGGACTTGGTGGAAGAGGTGGAAGAGGATGAGTTTGCCAACAGGAGGAAAAGAGGCGCAGATGCTGAAGATTCGGATGCACTCCCACACCGTTAGCTTTTTCCTCTTTTAGTCCCATTATGTTACATAACTCCCAACCTTAAAAAACTCAATCACAGTTTAAATATCAACATTTACTTGATTCATTATGCACATTATTATTTTGAGGTATTTGGGTAAGAACACAAGATTTCGAATCTATTAACTCATGTCACCTACTTTCAATGAATATATATGTATAATATCTTTAATTAAATTAAACCTTTTTTAAATAAAATTTTTCACTGAAATCAGGAATTCATTAATTTGTTTAAATATTTTTCAATTTTTATTTGAAAATTTTTTGTTTGAAAGCCAACTTATACGATAGCGAAGAAAGAATAGCCAAGCTATCTATCGATATGAAAAATAATTATTTGGAACTCTATGGAATGAAGTGCAGTCTGTAATGTGCCTCCTTTTAATGTGGAAACCGTCCTTTGAAATATCCACAATTATGAATGTTCCCTGAAGACATTTTTAAGGGAAATATATTCAAATACTTTGACGGAGAATTTTAAAATAATAAACCTATAATAAAACGATTCAATTTTGAAAATTATTCAAACCTATAAATGAAAAATTTATATTAAATTATATTAAATATTTATAATAAAACAATTTATTTGA